ATTAGCTCTGTTTATATACTCATAATGTATGTATGTTCATATGCCTGACTCACTGTCAGGCAGACTTTTTTTTTTTTAAGATTTATTTACTTTTTGAGAGAGGGGAAAGGAGAGAGAAGGAGAGGGAGAGAAGCACTGATCTGTTGCCTCTTACACACCCTTAATTGGGGACCCGGCCTGCAACCCAGACCTGACTGGGAATCGAGTCAGAGACCTCTTGGTTCGCGGGCGGGCGCTCAATCCACTGAGCTACACCAGCCAGGGCTAGGCAGACTCTTATATAATGTGTTTTCTTAATTGATTTATATAACCAAATGGTAAATATTCTTCTCTGTATTCCTTTTTTAAGGTGTCAGTTTGTGTTATATGTTATAAATAATCTTACTCATTTGAGAACCAATATCTTAGTTTCTATGTATAGTCTTTTAGAGCAAATATAGTATGATGGTTCTCTGTATAAGTATTATAAAAACATGAATAATTCTAATTATAATAATTATACATTTGGAAAGTTTGATAGAGTGAAAAGAAATTTTTAAGTATAAAATTTTAGATTTAACCTGTTCAAAATTTGTGTGTTTATTCAGTTTTGGTTATTTTTGTTATCAGAAAAGTCTTACTAAATGTAGTTATTAAAAAGCTAGAAAATAAATGTAAGTATTTCCAGGTTCTAAAAGCAAAAGAAAAAGAGTTGTTTTTATTACAAAATGTTAATACCTCTAGCACTTGAATATCTTGTAAATTAATTATGTGGAAAAAAAAACACATAAAGAAATAAAAGTAATATATGAGAAAACTAATTGTATTTTCCAAATGATGGATGGGGGAGAGAGAAGGTAACTAGTTATAGGAGATGTAGATCCCAAAAGTCGTGGTCAGTCAGGTACTGACCATGTTTTTTGGTAATTAGTACTTTGTAATTTCAGTAATTACAGTAAAGAAACCAGAGCATATTTTAAGACAGTGATTTTGCTAACTTTTTGGATCAACACTTGAAACATTAGCTATATTTTTATATATATATATATATATATATATATATATATATATATATATATATATTACATGAATCATATGTTACTTTTTCTGTACCACTTTTGATGTAGACCAAAGTTTCAATATGGACATTGGCAAATTATGATTTAGCAGAGAGAATCTGAAAAATGTCATTGTAGTCATCCTTATAACTTTTTTACTTTCTTCATTTATTAGTAGTCACTTCATTTTATTTGACCTTCAATTACATATCTTCCCTTCTTCTGCTCTTTTGAAAGTGAAATTTTTCATCTTTGTCTACTCATACTTCTTTCTCTTGAATGTAGACCAATAGTTTCTTTAATAGTTTTCACTGCTGTACTTTTAAAACATCATCCAAATAGCTATTTTGGACAATGATTTAAGATAACTATATATCATCTTTAAGATAGTACATTGCTTCTTAGCATTGCTATCTTTAGGGTGATTTTTTCCCCATAAAATTTCTTTCACTCTAAGATTTTATTTTGATGCCTCTTACAGAGACCAGAATGTTTCTTCCCTAAAGGTGTACCCATCTCTCCAACATAAATGTCTATCTTTGCTTAAAAAAATTAAGTCCTACTGATTTGATAATGTGGTGATTATCGCATTTTTTTGGACTAAAAGACACTTTTTTTTTAACCACATTTTTTGCTTCAAAAATTTTCTGCCTATTTTCCTCCTCTAAAACCTAGGCGTGTCTTATAGTGCAGACCCCAGACGCACCTAGGTTTTAGAGGAGGAAAATGTGGGGGGGGGGGGGGATTTTGAAGCAAAAAATGTAAAAAAGTGTCTTATAATCTGAAAAATATGGTAATTATGTGTTCATAGTTAAAAGACATGATTCCAGTTTTTATTTCTGAAAAGCCTCTAAAAAAGTTTTGCTATTCTTTGGTGTTTATTTCAGAGGGAGATTTTTTTCTTGGTGATGGTATTTAAAATTAAAATTTAAATATTTTATTCTATATAAACATTTTAAAAGGGGGAGAGATTTGTTATTTTTCCAGAGTCCTGAATTTGCAGTTCTGATGGTTAGAACTGCCCCTTTCGTTAGGATCGCCACTGGGATTTGATGTTGCAAGCTTTTACCCATTACTTGTGAGCACAGTGATAGCTCCATTCCCTCCGCCCTTGTCCCCCTCAAGGTAAAGAGTTAGTTTTCAGTCTGAGGATTTCTTGCCTAAGCTACTAAATTCCTTATAAATCCAGTCCAATTTGTATTTTAGAGTTGAATGGATAAGTGACTTGCTTCACTGCTTCATATTAGGTGAAGCTCGTAGGAACAAATACTCAGTATGCAGGCTCTGTGAAGCTTCCCATTGCCTGGATCTTAGATTCACTGATGGTGTCTTCCAGTATTTTAAGATATAGAAAAATTAATTAAGCATATTTGAGAAGCATTTTACTTTTCATTATTTTTGAATTTTGGTGATGTTATTTCAAAATTGTTAGCATCAAAACATAAATATATACAAAAGCATATTTGCCAGTGTTCTTTATTAGTTAATGGATGTCCCATTTTGCAGTTTTATTACCATTACTACTGTTGTTTGTGTACTTCATGAATTTTTCAGTGTAACACCTTAAACTTTTCTCCTTTATAAAAAGGCATAACTCTTAACTATCATAGTCTTCAGAGAATTGAGTGTAGTGAAATTGATTCTTGCCCTGGTAGGTATATAACTCACTTTAGGGAATTAAAATTTTAACTTTAATCCTTCATATTCTCCTCACAATTTTTTATTGTTGTAATTTAACCACTATCTCTTCATTTTGAACACTTTATTTAGTAGTGTCTTCTCTGCATTTATAACTTTATATCTTTCTATATGAAAGTTCTTGGTCAGTTGCTTTAAATTATTTCTCTTCTAAAGTGGGATCGTTAGTTTCCTTCTCTTTGAATTCCTCATTTCAACATATAAATTTGATAAGTTCAGAAATGTGCTTTGAGCTTTTGACATTAATACATACATTAGAACCTCAATGTCACATAATTTATTAGTGAATGGGATTCTATTTAAGTAAACTCTCAGAATTCATCCAAGAGCATTAAAAGTTCTCATATAATAATATGTATACCATATTATTTAAAGAGATTATTGAAAGAATTATTAGTATGTCTTGTTTTACTTTATCAAGCAGAGTAATCAATGAGAAAGAGCCTAGGATTAGAAATTTTGAAGTTTTTATCCCTTTTTTAATGTCTGTTTTTTTTAATGTTTAGGTAGTCATAGCTTGATTATCTGTATTTTTGGAAGAGATTTATTAATTCATTTCTGTATTATTCTTGACTTAGAAATATGTGATTTTCTTTGTACCAGAATTATAATACTAATTGTTTATCTTAGGTATAACTTTTTAAAAAAGACTTTATTTATTTGTTTTTAGTGAGAGGGAAAGGGAGGGAGAAAGTGAGGGAGGGAAGCACTGATGTGTGAGAGAAACATGGATCAGTTGCCTCCTGCATGCACCCCAATCCGGGACCAGGCCCGTTTTGGTTTGCTGGACAACACCCAGCCAATGCAGCCCCAGTGGTCAGGGCCTTAGGGTTAACTTTTAAGTTAGCTCGTGTGTCTCTGGGCTTACAGCAAATGTCCGTGGAGACTGTTGGTGTGGAAGCCTCGTAGTCAAGTTGGCAGGGAAAGCAGCACTGGTTGCAGAAAAGTCTGAGGGTGGCTAATTGATGTGGGAGCCATCAAATGTTGGTTATACATGTATATACCTGTCTTTTAGATATATTTGTAAAAGAATGTGATGGTGTTTATGAAGAACTTGAATATTCTGAAAAAAGTTTATTTAAATTTTGATACTGCCACAGCAATATTTATGTGTCATCTATTGATTACTGTCATTTTTCAGATGATTGTTCATCTGAGTTCTCTGGGTGCTTTTACACATTGCTTGTTTTGTTAAAACATGTTGAATATAATTTAAAAACTACACAATATATTAGTCAATTCCCTAGTTAAACTACCATTTACATTTATCCCAGAGGATATTAACCCAGTATATTGAGAACAAATGTAAATTATTTTACCAGAATAAGAAAACAAGGTAAGGTCATTGCTGTATGAATGAGTGAGAATCATTACTTTATTTGCCCGATTCAGATGAGTTAAAGTTGCTCTGTGTTAATATATCATGAGTACATTGTTTGAGTTCATTTTCAGCAGAGCAGGGAGTTTAGTGTAAGGAAGTGTCCAAGTCGTAGTGGTTGTTTTAATGGCAGTCTAAAAATTGTGATTCTGAACAAATCTCTGGAAGATAAAGTATTCTTGTTTAAAGTAGTAAAGAGATAAATGTTTTTTTAAGTTGTTCATGAAAGACCTATTTTGTTCAATCTTTTATTAATCTTATATGGGCTGAAAATTAATTTAAAAATGTGTAAACTGTTTTTAGTTTGTAGTATCTTTTTTATTGCAAACCCACATAATTACTGATAATTTAAAATGTCTTGCACACTGTTAATATTTAAGTATAGTTATGAAAATAGTTAAATTACAATAAACTCTTGATTATTTATGCCATTGGTAGGAGAAATACAGTGTATATAAAAAAAGGCATATATCAAATTTAACTTTAGATTCCAATGAAAATTTTCACAATAGATTTACTTTTGTAAACATATTCATACAAGAAAAATATAAAATTGTGAAATGTTTGAGGATTATGAGCTCAGTAAAAACTAGTGAAGGTGGTGTAGAAACCCACAAGGAAGTCAGGGAAAACTAAGTTGGAAATGAAAAGTTTTCTGTTAATAAAATATACATATTATTGAGAGTTGACTATAATGAGATGAGCTTTGAAGGAATGAGTCTGGTATTTCACAAGGTTTTTTTAATGCATTTCATATACTTATTTCTAATTGAAAAGTTATGGTGTTTAGCTCTAAGTAATGGGAAGTAATAAATTGTGTCCTTTTTCTTTCATTTCTGTTCTCTCTCTCTCTCTCTCTCTCTCTCTCTCTCTCTCGCTCTTTCTAGGGTATGAGTATTATAGAACAATTAGACCCTGTATCTTTTAGCAATTACTTGAAGAAATACCATAATACTATATGTGGAAGACATCCCATTGGAGTGTTATTAAATGTGAGTATCTTTTGGAAGACATGATTTTTTTTGAAGACTTTATTTATTTTTAGAGAGAGGAGAATGGAAAGAGAAAGAGAGGGAAAGAAACATCAATATGTGGTTGCCTCTCATGTACTCCCGCCTGGGGACCTGGCCTACAACCCAGGCATGTGCCCTGACTGGGAATCGAACTGGCAATGCCTTGGTTGGCAGGCCTGCACTCAATCCACTAAGACTTGATTTCTAACATTTGATCCTATGATGTTTTAAAATATCTTAAATATCTTAAGGCATCTGTGATACCTTATTAGCATTGGTTTTAAGTACATATAGTCAATTTTCTTTCTAGTACATTTAAGAGACTTTGAATTTCCATTGTTTTGGTTACTTGAATACAGTTATTTATCACAGGAAGTCAGGCCAGTACTTTCCTTTAAATACAGAAAGTTATTTAGAATACAAACCCATTTTCTCTATATCCTCAGCCAATTCCAGTATGCTCTTTATAAATATAAACCAAAGCAACCTTTCAGGAGATATGCTCTTATTGATTCCTTGGTTTTTATTTAGTGTCCTAGACTCTATAAAAATAAATGGAAGGTTTTGATCTTGAACTTTAGATATGTATAATAAAGCAAGATATGTGACATGTATATGTTTTTCTCTTTATAAGAAAAACAGTTCATTTAAGGAATGGTGGTAATAGGCAGAAGTCTTGGTTAGCTGGCTTTTGAAAAAGATAATAACATTAATTTTTCCACTAATAAAACAGTATGGATTTTCTGAAAGAAAATACAAGACTTTTTAAGAATGGAGAAAGTTATACTCAGGAATGGGAGGAGAAAGTCACAGTGGGCTCATTGTTTGGAAAGGCAGAGACATCATGAAGAAAGTAAGGTGGTCTAAAATAGTCTAGAGTAGGGTGTGGAAGTCCAGTCAGTGCTAATTTAATGTGATGTGAAAGACAGTGCGTTATGATTTTTACTGAGGGTTTTCTCTAACTCAGTATAGACTAATTGGAAGAAAAGCCTGTTAAGGGCTTAAACTAATTTCTGAAATTTAAACTAGAATAAGCTACACTAATAATCTGAATTGAATCAAATCATATTTTATATAATAAATGAACCAATAAAAAATTAAAGTAAAAATCCTGGTATACTTCTTGAAACTTAATTTATATACATTTCAAACTTAGGCTGAGTCAGACAAGGAAAAGACTACAACATCGCAAGGTAGTAGAAGTAGCTAAGGTTTAGTTTAGAGAATAGAGAGAAAGATTCTATGAGTTATTTGGTTTTTTTTAAGTGGCCTTACTAAATATAAGGACAGGTAGGGGTGGAAGGTGACTGATATTATCTAGAAGCTATGTTAGGAGAACTTCTTTGATAGAATTAAGTAAATTCTCATTTATTCCTATTTAATATGAGGTAATGAGAAATTCAAGAAACAAGTGAAGAGTGAAAGAGACCTAGGCTTCAGCTGTGAAATGGGAATAGTTAAGCCACCAGCTCATTCAAAGACGGCTCATTTTTTTCTATGATGTCTGGTTTTTTTTGTTTAATTTTAATCATTGTTCAAGTACAGTTTTCTCCCTTTTACTCCCAATCCAGCCCACCCACCCAACCTATGATGTCTGTTTTAACCAAATTTTTCTTTTCCCAGGCTATCACAGAGCTCCAGAAGAATGGAATGAATATGAGCTTTTCCTTTTTGAATTATGCCCAGTCAAGCCAGTGTAGAAACTGGCAAGACAGTTCAGTGAGTTATGCAGCTGGAGCACTCACGGTCCACTGAAGCTCTGAGTCCTCAGGGATGCCACCTGCACATGCTCATTCTCTGTTCGGGGTCCCAGCCCAGCCCTCACCAAGATCCTGGTCCTGGTTTGGGGGGATTCTGAAACCTCAAACTAATAGAACTTTCTTCTCTTCTTTTCTAGTAGGTGTAGTCCTTCCTTAATTTCAACTCATTAAAAAATGCTTTATAGTTTAGGGCAGTGGAAGGAAGGCTGGCATCAAATGTTTTGATCAAAAAAGATGGCAATGTAATGGCCCAGTTGTGGCATTTTTTTTGAAAGTAACTTGTAAAGCATTTATCATATCCTAAACTTGCACTCTTTGCAGACTTGTGCACATATATTCCGCTTTCAGAATAGTTTTGCAAATTGTACACAAACAAAAAAGGTGGAAGCTTTTTAATAAAGAAATTGCATTTATAAATGATCTGTATTAGAATATAATAATTCTCCAGTTATAGTCCATTACTACCCGTGTTGTACAACAGATACCTTCTATTTTAGTTGCTAATAAAGGGCTACACAACTCAAAATAGTCTGATTTAAACTTATTGCTCTGTGGTATATATGAAAATTGTTTTTATTAATTCATCTCAGAATTTTTATGTTAAAAGTGGTAAACTTCAGCTCTTACATAAAAATATGTTAGGATGTATTTTATATTTTGCATATTTATGTGATTTTTTTATCACAGATATCAGAACCATATTTTAAAGTTAACTTTTTAAATGACATATAGTTTGTTTTTGTGTGTGTGGCATCACTTAGTGTCATTACTATAATGTATATTCAAGATTGGTAAAAGAGCATAGATGTAGTCCTTCCCTTCAAAGATCGTGTTCGATAGGCAGTGGTCTGCTAATGAGGAAACGCTGAAGCATGTTCTAAAGTTTTTCAAATCATTGCAGACCTTACACTACTGCTATGCTTTTTTAGTACTCTAAGCAATTCGACTTGAATTTTTAGTAAGAAATCATTAACAATAACAACAAAAAGCCACCAGATTTTCTTATAGCTCTAAAATTTTTTTGTCATAATTTTTGGTGCGGCTCTTCCAACTAAAATAATGGTATGGTGTTGTATTTCTTTCTTTAGCATAGACCAATTCTAGTCACTTGGGGAAAAAAATATAATTCAGTTAGTTAATTATTGGCCACCATGCATGTAATATATTATACCTATTTGAATTTAACACTGGGTACCTTCATTACATTGGAGAATGTTTATATCTCCAGTGTTATGCCAGAATAGCACAATTTTTAGATGCCTTGCACCAATTTTATTTTAAGATTGCATTTCTTATTTACTAAATATCAACTTTATATGTGCAAGAATTGAGATAAAATAATGCTATCTTTTGGATTCAAAATTACCCACCTATACATGTGTGGAAATTATAACTCTTACATATTACTGATTTATTTCCTGTCATTTATATACACTTTCGAGTGCTATAAATATTTATTCCTTATTTATTATATAGACTATAAAAATTTCAGAATTGACTATAAAATGAATTTTTAATGTTTTCTGAGTATAAAACTAATACATGATTATTATGGAAAATTTAGAAAATACCGAAAAGTCTAAAGAAGAGAAAAAATTATTTGCAATTTCACTATCAGAGATAACACTGTTAACAATATTTTGTATTTTCTTTCAGACTTTGTCTATGCTATTTATATGTATGAATGTGTTTATGTGTTTGTGTGTGTGCATAATAACAATATTGAGATTATATTGACCAGATAGTTGTATAGCCTACATTTTATAACTTAACATCATAAGTACTTGCCCATGTCTTTGAAAATGTGATTTTTAAAAATGGCTGCTTAATATTCTGTTGTATGACTATACTATAATTGAACCCGTTCTCTTTTTGGATATTAGATTGTTTCTAATATTTCACAATGATACGTAATAGCAGGATGAACATCTTTGTATGCGCAATTTGAACTCTATATTAGACTAGTTCTATAGGGTCTGTTCATGGGAATAGGATAATTGGTTTAGATGTTGAGAACTTTTTAGGCTCTTTAAAATATGGCCAAATTCCCCCTTAGAAACTTTGTGCCAAATTAGCAATATATGAGTACTCATACTGCTCCTTATCCACTATTATTTTTTTAATCTTTGACAGTTTATTAAGCAAATGATTGTTCTCTTGATTATTCTAATTAATGAGTGGCTTTACAATGAATCATTTTTCCTTCTGTAATTTTCTAGTTGATTGTTTAATAAAAAACAAGAGGGTTTGCTTAGGTTGAGTGGGCAGTAGCCTTATTAGTATGTTTACTATACATTGAAAACTTTAGAATGTTTTAACATCATCCACTCTTTCCCAAAATATGAGTGTATCTTTCATACTTAGTCATTAAGTAGAAAGAGTTCCAAATTGATAGTTGAATGTTGGGTTCTAGTTCTGCCTCTGCTACTAATTAATCCTCTCACCATAAATATTTCATGTTATATCAAAACTTTCTCATCTGTGAAATGTGGAGGTGATCTCCTAAGCACTTCCAGTTTCAAAACACTTTAGTGTTCTGACTTTAGTCTTTAGAGATTTTGGTATCATTCATGTTAAAAATATACATGATTGAATTAGAAGTATTATCTTTTGATTTCAGCTTAACATACATGAAAATGAAGTCTTTAACAGAAAAGAAAAATTAATATGTGCTATTTAATGTGGTTAATATTACGTAAATTGTTGAACTTAAGCTTTCCTACTTTAAGTGCCTTTAAAAGTGTTTGAATTTGAAATCTGAAATGTAAAGGAAATTATTATGCAGTTCTATATAGTTTCTTCTTTTTTTTTTACTTTGAGTTATTTGCAAAATTTTTTTAAAACCTTAGATTACACAGAGCAGTGTATTCATGGATTCTTCACTATTTCACTAGTGAGTTCTTGAGATGTATGTTAAAGATTAGCTCAGTGAGCAGGTAAGTAATTCTTCATCTTGGGTGGGCAACAGATCTTCATACAGAGTAGGATAAAGGACTTTTCAGATATTCTGGTGTTTAGATATTTCAATATGGTTGGTAGGGATCCTGAGTTAATTAATGGTTATTGTTGCAGATCTCAAATTTTTCTTTGGTAATAAATTGTTTATTACCCTAGATTAAAGGTTGGTAAATGTTTTGGGTAAAGGGCCACGTAGTAAATATTTTGGATATGGCCTAGTAAATATTTTGGGTTTTGCATGCCAAATGGTCTCTGTTTCATCTATTTACCTTTGCTGTTGTAGCACAAAAACAACCATAGATGATGTGTTTTACTCAGACACGAAAAGACACTGAGCTGGATTTGGTTCATCCTTGGTAGCTTGCTGTACCTGGCCCTGGATGGTATAGTTCACTTGCAGTTAAAATAATTGGCTAGTAATTTAAACTGCAACAAGTGGTTGTAAATTTGATGCAGTCTAGTTTGCTGGGTTTGAGTGTTGTTTAGAATTGCAAAAGGTAAGTGGGAAGTGGGTAAGGGAAACTAGGAACTCTTAGGAACTTGTGTTAAAGCACTTTGAAGCCCTTTTATTTGCCGGAGACCATCGGAGGTTTGCTTTGCTGCTGTAAATTAAGAGTGACAAGTGGGCGTTCTGATTGGTTATTGCAAATTATGTAAATTATTCCAAGCACTTGGCTACCCAAATGGTAGTAAGGAATGGATCAGATGGACCTTTTTATTTGAGCATTTTAGGACACCAAACCAATAATTTAAGAGAGATTGTGAAATGTGAGACTTTATTTTGCCATGTAAAGACTTTTGGAAAAACAACTACTATTTTGTATCACCAACAGTTTATTTACTCCCAGTCCCAATATTTAGGAAGGACATAACACTCAGAATAAAAGAGTTGTTTAACCTGAATAATTTTAAGTTGATGGAAAAATTATTACCCTCTTCTTTTCTCATTTACTCCAGATCACTGGAAACTTCATCAAGATCCAGTCCGTAGACTGGCTGTTGGGAAGTGCTGTGATGTAGTTGCCAAAAGGCCTAATGTAGTTAGAAAACTGTTGTTGATTAGGAGATGTAATATACCACATGCACGCTGATATTCAGACTAAAACTTTTATATTATTTTGTTAAATTTAAGTGCCACATACTATGAGGGACACTAGGGAGGCAACCAGAATGCTGAAAGGCCTGAGTGCCTTGGAAAGGGGCATGCAGTCAAATAAGTCAGTGAGATTTATTTTGGAGAAAAGTTTAAAGAGAGGGAGTTTTCTTCAAATATTTGCATGGCTGCCATGTATAAGGAGGAATATAATTATTCTGTGAAAATTTAATTGTAAGAAGTAGAAGTTTCTGGTTCCATATTTAATGTTCTGTATGAGAATTTCTAAGTGAAAATTGACTCTGTTCTCATAAAATCATAGGAAGTATTCAAGCAAAAGCTAGATCTGGGGGGCTCCCAAGTAGAATCCCTCATATGGTCAGCCTCAGCATCGCCTGGTGTAGTGTTGGTGTAGATCTAAAATCATGGGTCACCAAGCTGGAAAAAGCCAAGGGAATTAGTGTAAGTAAAATGAAACTTACTTCATTTGTATAAGACTCTTTAAGGAAACTAATTTTTAAGTAAATAATTATTTTAATCATTTAACACTAACCCTCAACACAGATTATAAATTGATGATTGTTACTTGTTAGTGGTAGCACATTGGACCCTTAGAATAATTAATGTACTTTTAAAAAATTAAATCATTTAACTGTAAGGTAAAGTTCTACCATTTACTAAATTTAAGTTGATCTTTGAATAAGTAACATAGTTTTATTAAACACAGATTCTTCTTGATTCTACAGCAGAGCCATAAAATTTGCAGAAAAAGGTATTGAGGGAGCTTGTTCTTTTTATAGCTATTAATGTCAACATAGTAGAAGGGGCACCAGCAGCAGCTGGCAGGTGTTTTCTCTGCGCTCTTCCTCTTCTACCCTGTAAATAGAACTGCAGGGCATGTCACAGTGTCATCACTGACCATGCTGTGTATTTGGTGATGTTACCTTCCACCAATGCTGGTAACTGGGGCCTCTGCCTATTAATAGTCACTCTTTTGGATGGGTTTTGTTTGCCTGTCATGAGTTCATTGACATATTCTGGTTGTTGGGTATGTGAACAATATTAGGTTTTTAGATCTGTCATTTGTGCAAGGGTCCTACAGTGATCCCAGAGTGGTTTGTACCCAGGGTGTATTACATTTATTCTGTGTGCGTGTGTGTGTGCGTAATTCTAATGTAAGAGTTTGGCCAATCACCCTATAAAAATAATGGAAAAAAATTTAAAAGCCAACTTCTCCTGATTTTCAAAGCCATAATGTAATGCAATTGGTTTTTTAATACAAATTGTAAATTATGTTCAAATGCGTATTTTATACTGTAAAGTGAGGTTTGTAACTTTACTAGATGTAGTCTTTTTTTTTCCCTGTCAATCTGATAATGAAACCAAAGAGAATATAAATACCATTACTGAGAAGCTATTGAAGGCCAAGTGTATTCGACTATGAATAAGACCTACGTTCTGGTTTTTAAATATGC